CCCCTTTCTGGGATTCATTAAATCATCGTTAGTGGCCGCTTGTGACGGATCCCGAGCCCAATCCCTGCTCATTATCCCGGATTCCCGGCCAGTGTTTGGCATCGCGGTCAGCCCTGCCTCATCCCCAAAACCTCCTAATCCCAGGAGTGACAAATTGGGAATACAGCCTTTATCCAGCCGGGATAATTAGCTTATCTGCCCTCCCCATCCCGGGATTTGCACTTCACGGCCGCTCCAACCAGTTGCTTCCAGGAAAGCAAAAGTAGGAAAACCCTGAAAATGCGGAAACCCCTCCGGGGGAACCAGCCGGGCTCCGGGATTCCGAACCATCACAAACACTGCGTAAATTCCACACAGTTCCCTGTGGATCCGGAGAAACAACGCGGAAAAGCATCACCGGATCGAGATTACACCTGGATAATCGGGAGCGAGGGGGTTCCACTGTCAGCATCCCTCCCCGAGGGGTCGGGACCCCCGGAGGGCTCAGAATTCCCTCCAGGATGGCCCCGTAGGAACACGTCGTGTTCCCAAAGCACCTCCACATCCCTCGCATCGCTCTGCGATGCTGCCCGGCACGGTTCGGGGGTCGAGGGACTTTGCTGAGGGGAGGGGGTCGCTGCCCCTCGCCCACCACCCCCAGTTCTCGCTCAATTTGCTTAATCACTTCTCCCCCCGCGGCCAATGTTGGCCCATTAACGGCTTTAAAACCCGTTTAAATGAGAAAAGCAGCAGCTCAGGGTCAGGTTTCGGGGCGGGTCCCCCGGAGCGAAGACCCCCGAACTCCCCACCCCCCTCTAAGCTCCCCCCCAAAAAGGGGCGAAGTGAGCCAAAACTAAAATAAATTAACCAAATATCTTTTTCTTAGCATCAGGTGGGCGCTGTCCTGCAGGACGGGCTTGGGGGGCTCTGAGCACCCGCGAGAGGCGAGGGGAGGGTCCGGGGGGCACTTACGGTGCGGGCTCCGCCGGGGGACAGCGCTCCGTTGGCGAGGTAGGGGCTGCCCAGCTCCGGGAGCATCAGGAACGGGTACCCGGGGTACGGGGGGCCCTTGAAGAACGCCCCATCCTGCTGCCGTCTGACCACTGCGGGAGAGGGGAGGGGGCGTCAGCGGGCGGGGGGCGCACGGCGGGGTCCCTCGGGGATGCCCAAATCCCTGGGGGGGGGTCCCGGGTTCTTCCGGGGGTCTCCGACGGAATTTTGGGGGAGTCATTGTCCCTCGCGGAGGGTGGGGGGGGCCCAAGTCGCTTGTGGGGGTTCCTGGATTTTCTAGGGGTTCCTTGATTTTCTAGGGGTTCCTGGATTGTCTAGGGGTTCCCACTTGGGGGGCAGCTGGGTGCGCCCCTCTGAGGGTGCCCAAGCTTCTTTGGGGGGTCTTTTGGGGGATCCCCGCTGGGGAGGGGCCCGGACAGGTCCCTTGGGGTGTCCCTGGTCACTTTGGGGTGCCCCTGGCTCTTCTGGGGGTCTCGGCTGCGCGGGGCAGCCCCGGGGGCGGCGGCGGCTCCCGGTGCCGGTCACTCCCCCCCGAACGGAGCCGGTCCCGGGGGCGTCCCGAGCCACGGGGGCACGGATCACCGATCCATGCCCGGGGCCGGTGACCGCGGCGGGGACACGGGGGGGGCACACACGGGGGGGCACACACGGGGGGACACACACGGCCCGGAGGGGACCCGGCCCCGGGGGACACCGCGGGGAGGAGCGGAGAACACGGACACGGACACGGGGGGGGCACACAAGGGGTCCCGCCCGCGGCGGGGGCGGAAACAAAGAAGTTGGGAAGTGCCGGCGGCTCCCGGGGGATGCGGCGGGGAGGGGGGGTCCGGTACCTTCTGCCAGCGAGTCCCGCGGCTTCTGGAAACTTTCCCGGGGCGGCGGGGGCCGCTCCGCCTGCGGGGAGAGGCGGTGAGCGGAGCGGGGCCGGGCGGGGGGCGCCTCCCCCCGGCTCCCCGCCGCCCCCCGCCTCACCTCGGGGCCGGGGCCGGCCGCGCCGCCGGGGCCGCCCCGGTTCTCAGTCTCGCTGACCAGCGAGGACTTGAGCTCGTCCAGGTCCCCGTGGGCCGAGCCGCGCCCCGCGCCCTTGTCCTGCTCCTCGCCCTCGTCCTGGAAGGCGATGAGCTCGTCGGGGGCCCCCAGGTCGTCCCCCCCCGTGGGTTCCAGCTGCGGCATCGTGGGGTCCCGCCCCGGCCCCGCCGGGCCCCGCCGCCGCCGCCGCCACCGCCCGGAGGGTCGGGAATGCGCGGGGCGGCGGGGCGGGGAGGAGCCGGGATGCAAACCGACACCGGGGGCCGGGCAGGGGCTCGCGCCGCCCCGCCGGGCCCGCTCCGCTCCGCGAGGGTCCCGCGCCGGCCCCGCTCGGTGCTGCCGCGACCGGGGCTCCCCATCCCGACCGGGGCTCCCCATCCCGACCGGGGCTCCCCGCACGGTCCGGACCCCCCATCCCGACCGGGGCTCCCCATCCCGACCGGGGCTCCCCGCACGGTCCGGGCCCCCATCCCGACCGGGGCTCCCCGCACGGTCCGGGCCCCCCATCCCGACCGGGGCTCCCCCACCCGGACCAGGGTGCCCCAGCCCTGGGCCCCCCGTCCCACGCGGGTGTCACCTCCCATCCCACCCTAGTCCCATTCGGGGTGTCACCTCCCATCCGTCCCCCCCGTCCCACGCGGGGTGACACTTCTGACACATCTGAGTGTTCTCAGCTTACTCGTAGTCCCCCCATTCCGTCCGTGTTCCTGCCACCCTGCCCTGGTGTCCCCCTCATGCCCTGGGTCCCCCCATCCGTCCCATGGTGTCCCCTCCCATCTGGGTGCTCCCATCCCTGTCCCTCATCCTGTTCAGCTGTCCCCATCCCACCCGGGGTGCCCCCATCCCACCCATGGTGCCCCCATCCCTCTCAGGGTGCCCCCATCCCACCCATGGTGCCCCCATCCCTCCCATGGTGCCCCCATCCCACCCATGGTGCCCCTGTCCCCCACCCCAGGAATGCTCCAGGGACGTGCCCACCCCTCCCCGCGCTGGTAGAGGATCCTGCCATGATGGGACAGACATCCAAAACCCCTTTTTCTCCTTTTATTGTACAGGGTGGGCTCGCTCCCGCACGGCCGGTGGGGTGGCACCCAGCGGGGCTGCGTCCATCACCCCCGATGGGCATTGTCCCGGTGCCATCGCCCGCAGCCCGGCCCTGAACCCCAGTCCCAGGCACCCCCAGCAGCCCCCAGACCCCCGGGCTGCAGCCCCCGCCGCCCCCGGCCCGCAGCCCCTCGCTCTGCGCCACAAAGCTCCCTCAGTTGCTGCGCCTGAAACGCTCGATGAAAAGGCTTTTGTACGGTCGGGATCGCTGGTGACCCCGGTCCCCCCTGCCCAAGATTCCCAAGGAAAAGCGGGAGGCAGCTGCGGGGGGCCGTGCCGGCTGGCCCCTCCAGATGTTTTATTGCCCTGCGTTTAATTAACATTGCCAGCCACGTGCTCAATGGGGAGCTCACATCTGCCCCTTCTCCCCGCACCGCCCCTGGTTTGGGGGCTCATGGAGCAGGGATGTGGATGTGGCCGGGGGTCTGGGTGAGTCCCGGGATGCTAAAAAATATAAATTATCGCCTTATGCATTATTTTTGCTCATATTTCCCATAACAAATTTGGGATGAACCCTCGAGGCGTGAGGAGGTGGCTGGTTCCCAGCAGGGCACATGTGGGGGTGCCACCCAGTGCTCCCCAGGTGCCCCAAAACTTCGCCCTCCTAAATCCTAAAAAAGGCAGCCCTGCAGTTTTGGGGTGTTTCCCAACATTTTTGTAGGTCCTGTCCAAACACAGAACCTCCTCAGTGGGTTTCGCCCACCCAGAGGTGACGCCTGGTGTTCTGGGGGATCCGTGGGGGGAAGGATCCTTGGTCCCACTAGGAAGTCTGGACACCCCGGGACCCCCAGGCACCCCAGGACCTACACCAGGACTCTGAGGTGCCCCAGGACCCTCGGAGACCCCAGTGCCCTCCATCGCTCCATTCTCCATCTCCCGCTCCATCCCACCCCGCCAGCAGCGGGGGAGGGCAGGGGGACAACGAGCCGCGAATGTCCCATCAGCGCCCTGGGGACAGCGCCCGTGCCTCGGGTCACCTCCCGGGACCCCCAAGATCACCCCTTCGGGAGGGTCTTTGCCACGGGGGAGCGAGAGGCAGAATTTTGACGATTTGGGCTAAAATTGAGCCGCATTTACACGCTAAAAAGCTGCAGGCTCCGAGGCGCCCCCCGATGTGCCCCCCTCGGGCTGGGAAATGAGGGAAATCCTCGGAAATGGCGAATTTCGGTCCCGAGGGCTGCGTCTGTCTGCTCGGAGAGGGGGTCTCATGTCGGGGTCTGTTATTTGGGGGCGGGGTCTCCCTATTGGGGGGTGGTCTCCTTTTGGGGGTGGTCCGTTATTTTGGGGGGGTCTCCTATCGGGGTCTGTTATTTTTGGGGAGGGGTCTCCCTGTCGGGGAGGGGGTCCGTTATTGGGGGGCGCGCTCCGCTATTTGAGGGGCGCTCTGTATCAGGGGCGTGGTCTGTCCATGCAGGGGCGTGGCCTATACATCAAGGGGCGTGATCTAGCAAGCGGTGGGCGTGGTGTAGCGTCTCATGGGCGTGGCTTTGTTGGGTGGGGCTGTCCGGGGCGGGGCCGGGCGCTTCCGGGGCGGGGCCGGGGACATGGGCGGGGCCGTTCCGGGGGCGGTGGCGGTATCACCGGCGGGGCGGGGCCGGGGGCGGTGCAGTAGCATCGGGGGGGCGGTGCCGGTATTACCGATGGGGCAGGGCGGTACCGGGGGCGGTGCCGTTCCTTGGGGCGGTCCTGGTATCACCGGCGGGGCGGTGCCTGGGGCGGTACCGAGGGGTGGTCCCGGCAATACCGGCGGGGCGGGGCTAGGGGCGGTCCCGGTATCGCCGTTCCTGGGGGCGGTCCCGGTATCGCCGTTCCTGGGGGCGGGTCCGGGGGCGGGCCCGGCAGTACCGGGGGCGGGCCCGGCGCTGCCGGCGGGCGGAGCGGGCGCAGCCATGGCGCTGAACCTGGCCAAGAACGGGCGGGCGCTGCAGGAGGCCTACGGGAGCGTGGTGGCCGCGGGCAGCCGAACCGACTGGTGCGGGACCGGAGGCACCGGGGCGGTACCGGGATGGGGATGGAGGAGATGGATGGGGAGGGGGCGACGGGGTGCTGCGGTGGGGGATGGGGGATGGGGGATGGGGAGGGCAGATGGGGTGATGGGGAGGGGATTTGGGGGGATGTGGGGTGGGTGGAGGGGTTGTGGGGGGTTCAGGGGGTCTCAGGGGTCCCTGGGGGGCTCTGCACCTCAGAATGTACCGGGGGTGTGTGAGCACCCCAGATAAGCGCTAAAGCTGGCTGAAAATCCCATTTCTGCCTTGATTTTAGGGCTCTGTTCACCTATGAAGGCAACAGCAATGACCTGCGAGTGGCCGGCTCCGGAGGTGAGGATTTGGGGGTCCATCCCCCTGTTTCCAGGATCTGGGGGCTGATTTTGGGGACCATCCCCTGTTTCCGGGATCTGGTTGCTGATTTTGGGGACCATCCTGATCCTGACTGCTCCTTGTGTTTGAATCTCGGGTTTGGGCAGGGCCCTCGCTCAGCCCTGACCTGCCCAGCGCTCCCAGAGCCCCTCGTGCCCCGTTCCCTCCTTCCTGCCATTCTTTTCCCTTTGTTGTGTGTCTGAGACACCCCGGCCTGGGGAGCCTCAGCCTCCAGGAAGCAGCAGCTCCACGTCCAGGCTGGGATTTGCATCCTCTCATCCCTGCCCAGCTTCTGCCTCAGTTTCCAAGAGCTTTTCCCAGCCTGTGGAGGCTCCTGGGTCTGGTGGAGCTCAGGAGTTTGGGGCTGGGGAGATGTGTTGAGGAAGAATCTTGCTGGGTCCCAAATGAGGATTTTTGGGGTATTTTTTGGGGAGTTTTTGGGGTATTTTTGGGGAATTTTTGGGGAGTTTTTGGGGTATTTTTTGGGGAGTTTTTGGGGTATTTTTTGCGGAGTTTTGGGGAGTTTTTTGGGGGTTTTGGGGGGCTGCAGAGGGCGTGCCCCAAGCTCCCCCCAGCATTCCCTCACCCACCAGCTCCAGAGTTCCAACCCCCGGCTTCCCTGCCGGGTGTGGAGCCAAATTTAGAGGCAGGCCATGAATGTTTAATGGGCAGAGGGAAACGATCCGGGTGGTTCTGCAGAGCAGGGCAGGGCGAGCTGTGCGGGGCTCCCTGTTCCTGCCAGGCTGATAAGGAGCAGGGGCTGCTCTCCCACTCCCCCGGGCTCACACAGCCCAGCACAGTGCTCCGGGGGGATGCTTTTGGGATGAAAGAGTGCAGTTTTGGTGGCTTTCCTCCTTTCCTGTGGTTTGTTGGTGCAGTGAGAGTGATCTGCTCCCTTCCCATTGCCCCTGCCTGAGCCCTGGGTGGGATTCTCCCTTTGGGGTTCACTCCCAGCTCCCCAAAGCAGCCCTGGGACCTCTCCAGGTGGGTGTGACAGGGAGGGAAACGTTGAGGCAGCAGTTTCTCCATGGTGCACTAACAGGACCTTGCCCCTTTTTGGTTCCTGCTCTACTTCCCATCTTGCAGAGCAGGAACAGGGCCCAGCCAGCTCCTCCCCAGCCCCGTTCCCCCTCCCCGAGTGTTGCTGAGCGTGGCTTTGTGCAGGAGCCCGTGGGCACAGCTGGCTTTGAGGCTCCTGATGGGTCAGGGGGTGTCAGCAGCTCCTTCCCCCTCTCCCTCACCTGGATCTCAGAGCCAGGCGGGGTTTGGGGAGGCCTGAGGAAGAGGAGTGGGGTGATGAAGGCTGCTGGGGCTGGGTTTGGGGGCAATGCTCAGGTTGTGTGTTCTCAGAGCCAGCCTGGGCTGGGGCAGCCCCACAGCTCATGGGGAGCAGGGCTGAGAAGGCTCTGGGGGTCTCTGGGGGGCTCTGGGGGGGCTCTGGGGGTCTCTGGGTGCCCCCCCAGGCTCAGGGCGGGCTGGGCTCACCCTGTGCTCCCTCCTGGGCAGAGGGGGGCCTGGAGGAGATGGTGGAGGAGCTCAACAGCGGGAAGGTGATGTACGGCTTCTGCCGCGTCCGGGACCCCAACTCGGGGCTGCCCAAATACGTCCTGGTCAACTGGGTGAGTGGGGACAGCCCAAGGGGCTCAGGTGGGCTGGGGAGGGGCTCATGCACCCCAAGGGGCTCAGGTGAGCTGCTGGTGTCCCCTGCAGACAGGTGAAGGTGTCAATGACGTGAGGAAAGGAGCCTGCGCCAACCACGTCAGCACTGTGGCCAACTTCCTCAAGGTGTGAGCCTGCTCTGCAACCCCTCAGGGAATGTTTTGGGTGGGAGGGCCCTGAGACCACCCCCCTCTGCCCCCTGCCACCCTCGGGGACACGGGGGCACATCCCAGGGCAAGTGGGATGCAAGGAAGGAAGCTGCATCCTTCCAGCAGAGCCCCTCGCCCAAATGATTCCCCTGGGCATCTCCTCCTGTTCCCTGCCCTGGGAGCTCTGGGGCAGCTGCTGGGTCTGGGGGCTCCAGGGCTGAGCCCCTGCTGGGTCTGGGGGCTCCAGGGCTGAGCCCCTGCTGGGTCTGGGGGCTCCCGGGCTCACCCTGGGCCCTGCTGGGTCTGGGGGCTCCAGGGCTCACCCTGGGCCCTGCTGGGTCTGGGGGCTCCCGGGCTCACCCTGGGCCCTGCTGGGTCTGGGGGCTCCCGGGCTCACCCTGGGCCCTGCTGGCCCCTCTGCTCAGGGCGCTCACGTCACCATCAACGCCCGGGCCGAGGAGGACGTGGAGCCCGAGCTGATCATGGAGAAGGTGGCCAAGGCCTCGGGGGCCAACTACAGCTTCCACAAGGAGAGCAGCAAGTTCCAGGACTCGGGGCCGCAGGCGCCCGTGGTGAGCTGGGGCAGGGGGGCTGCTGGGGGCTCTTTGGCCCCACGGGGGAAGGGGCGCCCTGGGCATCGACCCCTCTGTGGGTGCTCAGCCTGGGGAATTGAAGGGGCCAGGGGGAACTTGGGGACCTTGCCAGGGCCCGAGGGGGGTCAGTCCCACCCAGTGCCAGCCCTGCCGTGGCAGGGACACCTCCCACCATCCAGCCTGGCCCGGGACACTCCAGGGATGGAGCAGCCTCCTGTGCCAGGGCCAGCAATTCCCCATTTTTGGCAAGGTGCGCATCGCTGGCCTCACCCAGCCCAGCCCTCCTTTAAACTGTGGGGCAAAGCATCAGGTTATGGAATCTTCTCAGCTTCTTCTCAGGGGGGTCCTAGGCCAGGCTGGTTTGGGCTGGTTTGTGACAAAAGGTGCCAGAAAGGTGTTTTGTCTGTGTCTGCTCAGGGCTCTGTGTACCAGAAGACAAACGCCATGTCTGAGATCAAGAGGGTCAATAAGGACAATTTCTGGGCCAAAGCAGAGGTGGGTGAACGTGAGCACGGGGTGTCTGGGTTAGCTGGAGGTTGTTCCCAGTGTTATTCCGAGTCCTGCTGGGCCCAGGGGAGGGCAGAGCTGCTGCCCTGGGTGCTCCCGAGCTGCAGGTGCTGCTCCATCCCAGGTCTCACCTGGGCCGGGCTGGGCCTGGCTCTGGGCTGGATCCAGCTCCCAGCAAGCCCCAGCTGGGCGGGGAAATGGGTGTTTGACCCTGCACGGCTGCTTCCTGCTCCCTTCCCTTGCGCCTGGGCTTTTATGGGGTTAAACAATAACCTGTGAACCTCCTGGCTGGGGAAGTGCCCTGGGATCCACCAGGGGCCCCAGGACCTGCTGTGTGTGCCCCCCTGGGATGTGCCGTGTCCTTGGGCTCCACCATGTCCCCCAGGATGTGCCGTGTCCTTGGGGTCCACCACGAGCCCCAGGGACGTGCTGTGTGTCCTTGGGATGTGCTGTGTGTGTCCTCCAGGATGTGCTGTGTGTTCCCCAGGGACGTGCTGTGTTTCCCTGGGGTGTGCTGTGTGTGCCCAGAGACGTGCCATGTCCTTGGGACCCACCGTGTGCCCAGGGACGTGCTGTGTGTGCCCAGGGCTGTGCTGTGTGTGCCCAGGGACGTGCCATGTCCTTGAGACCCACCGTGTCCCCCCAGAGCTGCCCTGTGCCCCGGGGTGCAGAGGGCCGGGGCTCTCGGAGCCGTGGCAGTGAGACCCCTGCCCCTGTGTGCCCAGTATCCCCCAGCCCCGTGTGCCAAATATCCCAACCCACCATGCCCTGTGTGCCCAATATCCCCCAGCCCCGTTCCCCCAGCGTCCCCCAGCCCTGTGTGCCCAGCCCACCCTGTGTGCCCAGTATCCCAGCCCTGTGAGCCCAGCATCCCCCAGCCCCGCGCCCCAGCGTCCCCCAGCCCCGCGCCCCAGCGTCCCCAGCCCCGCGCCCCAGCGTCCCCAGCCCCGCGCCCCGGCGTCCCCCAGCGCGGTGCGTGCCCGGTGCCCGCAGAAGGACGAGCAGGAGCGGCGGGAGCAGGAGCGGCGGCGCGCGGAGCAGGAGCGGCAGCGCCTGGAGCAGGAGCGGCGCCAGCGGGAGCTGCGGGAGGCGGCGGGGCGGGAGCGGCTCTGCCAGGCCCGCGACAGCGAGATCGACGCGCACAAGTGAGCGGGGTCGGGGATTCAGAGCCTGCCCTGCCCCCGGGGTGCCCCTGGTGCTGCTGTCCCTGTCCCTGTCACTGCCACTGCCCCTCCGGCCCCGGGTGCTGCTGTCCCTGTCACTGCCCCTCCGAGCTGCCCCCACTCCTGCAGGGTTTGTACCTCAGGGAGGGGAGGGTTCCACACATTGCCCATGCTGGGATTCCTGTAGGAAATCTTTAAAAGGACAGATTTGAGGGGATCCTGATCCAGCTGAGATTCCTGTAGGAAATCTTGAATAGAACAGATTTGGGGGGATCCTGATGCAGCTGCGCAGGGAACATCTCCCTGGCTGCTCATCCAGCATCACCCCGAGCCTCCCTGCCCATGGATGCTGCCCCAGGGCTCCCCCAATTCTGCTCCCCAAACCCCTGGCCCTGTTTTTGGGGTGTCAGAGCGCCAGGGAGCTCCAGCCGCACAGGGGAGCCTGCCCAGCTCCCATATGGGGTGCTCACGTCCCTGTCCCCAGGGAGGAGATTTCCCTGGAACGATCCCTGTGCTTGGAGCAGCTCCTGCTCCTCCCCTCGAGGGTGGCTGCAGCACCTCGTCTGGCCCTGCAGGGAGGGGTGGCCTTCGCGGGCTATTCCTGGAGCTGGGATAGTGGGTGAGGTCTCAAACGCTCATTTTTAACCCATTTATCCCCACAGGAGACTGCAGCAGCAGCAGGAGGCTGAGAGCAGGGACAGGGAGCAGCAGCAGTGGGTGAGCTCCGTGCTGGCCCCAGGCCAGGGTGGGGGGCACAGGGCGAGTGGAAATGGCCCCCAAGTTGCCCAGGGGAGGTTTAGGGGATGTTGGGGAAATTCCTTCACAACAAGGGCTGTGCAGCCCTGGCAAGGGTGGAGTCCCCATCCCTGGGGGGTGTCACAGCTCTGGGGATGTGGCACTTGGGGACACAGGGCCATGATGGCTGTGGCAGTGCTGGGGAGCAGCTGCGCTCGATGCTCTCAGGGGTTTTCCCACCCAGAATCATTCCCTGACCCCAACAGGGAATGTCCCTGAGCCCAGTGACGCCCAGTCCCTGCTCCCAGCCCAGAACTCCCACATCTTCCTCACGGAGCCAGGCTGCCTCCTCATCCTCCCTCCCTGGGGCCCGAGGGGGGCAGGTGGCTCTGGCAGGGGTGGCCCAGCCCTGTCCCTGTCCCCAGCCCTGTCCCTGTCCTGTCCCCTGGTGCAGAAGGAGCGCGCCGACGAGGACGAGGCTCGCCGGGGCGTCAGGAGGAGCCAGTCGGTGGAGAAAGCCCAGGTGGGAATTCACCTGTCCCCGGGGCAGGGGGGGCTACTGGGCCCTGTCCCCCGTGTCCCCGGGCCCCGACTGACCCCGTGCCCCCTCCCCGGGCAGGAGGCGGCCACGCTGATCGCACAGAGAGCCGTCAACCCCCGAGACATCTTCAAACAAAAGGAGAGAGCGGGGCCGGGGGACACGGGGCTGCCAGCACAGCCAGGTATGGCCTGGGGACACTGCCAGGTATGGGCTGGGGACAGAGCAGGGGGCTGGGGACACTGCCAGGCGCTGGGGACACAGCCAGGTATGATCTGGTGGTTCAATCTGTTAACCCCAGGAAACCATCATTATCGCAGTCTGTCCCCACTGAATGAAGTTTCCCCCAGATTTTTGCGCTGCCCCAGCCGGGCAGAGCCCCGTGCTGTCAGCAGGGCCTGGTCTGGTCTGGTCTCTCAGGCAGAAATCAGGAAGTTTGCAGGGCAGAGCTGAGAGCAGCTGAGGAAGTGGCTGTGACCCGTGACACGCCTGGGTGAGGCCTCTGCCTCCTCTTCCTCATCCTCATCCTCACCCAGCCCCCTCCAAAGCACCTTGGATTGATCCAAATAATCACTTCCACTTGGTGACAGGAGCAGGAATCCTGTGCCTTGGGCAGGCACACCCTGGGTGGGAGAGGAGGGGATGCCAGGCTGGGAAAGTGTCTGTTTTGGTGGTTGAAAATGTCTTTTGTGGTGGTTTTGATGGTTGAAAATGTCTTTTTGATCATGAGGAGAGGCTGACTTTGAGTTGTTTCGTGGAGCAAAGGCAGATAAATGCCCCGGAGTTGATCAGAGATAAGGGCAGGCAGGAGTCCTGGTGCTGGCAGGGCTGGTGCAGGAATCCTGCTCAGCTTTTGTTTGGTTTGGAGGTGGAGATGAGGCGACAGCAGCCCAGGTGCCTCCTGCCACAGGAAACAGGACCCAGTTTGCATCATTGGCCTTCCCGCCCAGAGCCACACGGAGAGAGAGCCAGGGGCTGTAGCTCTCCCTCCTCCACAGAAGTACATTCATTTATTCATTCATTTCATTTTTAAATTTCCCCTTGGCTGCCGCCGCAACCGGTTGCCAAACTTGTTTTCCACAGCCAGGGCTGGAGCTGGAAAATCCTGCTCGGGAGGGCGAGGCGGCAGCGTGGGGGTGCCCTGGGGGCAGCCCCCTCCTCTCTCTTTGTATGGCTCAGTAATGCGGGGGTCCCCAGGGGGTTTGGGGGTCCCCCCGTGAGCAGCCCCCCGCTCTCCTCCCAGGCAAGCTGCGCAGCCCGTTCCTGCAGAAGGAGCTGGACCCCGGCCCAGCCTCCCCCAGCAGGGGCGTCTGGGGGTCCCCCCCGGCCTCCCCGGGCCCTGCAGCAGGTGGGTGCTCGGCTCCCTGCTCTCCCCAGGGCCGTTCCCATTTCCGCTGCGTTTCTCACAAATTTGGGCATCTGGAGATTCCATTTTGGGGCTCTGCCTGCAGCCAGGGCTGAGGGTGGTGCTGAGGATGAGGATGGTTCCTGCTTGTCCTCAGATGAGGGTGAGGGTGGTTCCTGCTCGTCCTCAGGTGCCAAGGGCAGGCTGGGCACTGGGATTTGGGGCACTGGGGGTGTCCCTGCCCAAGGCAGGAGGGATCTTTTGGGTCCCTTTCAGCCCAAATCATTCCAGGATTCTCTGTGCTGATTCACACTGGATATCAGGGGTAGATTTAACTGGATATCAGGGGTAGATTTAACTGGATATCAGGGGTAATTTCAGACTGGATATTGGAGGTAAATTCAGGCTGGATGTGAGGGTGGTGAGCCCCTGGTGCAGGTGGTACCATGGATGTCCCTGGCAGTGCCCAGGCCAGGCTGGGCAGGGTTTGGGGTACCTGGGGCACTGGGGCTGTCCCTGCCCTGGCACAGTGAGGTGTCCCTGCCCTGGCACTGGGCTGTCCCTCCCCAGCCATTTCCCAGTGCTCTGGGCAGGAATTGGTTCCAGGGCAGGGCTGGCTGTGCCCGTGTGCTGTGGGTGGCACTGAGGGCCGGCCCTGTCCCCAGATCACGGGCTCACAGGTGGGCTGGGCCGGGCTGGGGTCTCGGAGAGCACCCGGCGCCCCAGCAGGGCCGTGCTGGGCTCCAGCCCGGTGTCCCCAGGCAGGGAGCCGGGGCCAGCCCAGCCCGGTGTCCCCAGGCCACTGTCACCACTAGATGCTGCTCTTGGCCAGGGCTGTGCTCCGGCCCCTCCCTCCACGGCAATCATCCATCCTGAGCCGGTTCACCCCTCCCCTGCCGGGGGTGGGTCTGTGCTGTGTCCGTCCCTCTGCTCCCAGCCCCCTCCTCACCCATCCCTGCCCGGGCAGGGGTCCCCAGGATGAGACCAGGGCAGGGTTCAGGGGCTGGCCGTGGTGACAGAGCCCCGGTTCCTCCTCAGGACGGGACTCCGGCTACAGCTCCGGCGTGCCGGGCTCCCAGGGCGAGGAGAACCTGTACGAGGAGCCCCCCGAGCCCGCGGCCATCTACGAGGAGCCCCCCCAGGTGGGTCTGGGGGCCGGGTCTGGGTGGGGGAGCGCGGCTTGTCCCGTCCCTGGGATGAGCTGGGACTGAAATCTGAGCTGAAATCACTGGAAATGGGGGGACCTCAGGGGTGCTCAGGGTGCCCCTGTGTGGCAGGGGGTGCTGCTGTGTCCCATGCCGATGGCCGTTCCTGGGCATTGTTCTCTCCCCTCCCACCGTTCCCCTGCTGATCCCTGCTCTCCTCTCCCTGCTCTCACCAGGAGCAAGCTGCCGATGCCAAGTACGACTACAGGGTGGAGTACCAGGAGCCCCCAGACCTGGCGGGGAAGGGGCTCTGTGCCCGGGCCCTCTATGACTACCAGGCTGGTGAGACCCCTGAGCCGCTGCTGCCCTTGTACCAGTCCCTCCCCAGCTCTCCTGGAGCCCCTCAGGCCCTGGAAGGGTCTCCGGGAGCTTTCCCTGCCCCAGGGAACATTCCCAGCTCTCCTGGAGCCCCTCAGGCCCTGGAAGGGTCTCCGGGAGCTTTCCCTGCCCCAGGGAGCATCCCCAGCTCTCCCAGTGTGTGCCCATGGCAGAGGGGCTCCGGCCCTGGGGCAGCCCCACATCCCCGTTACCCTGTGACCCCGGGGCTGGGGTGGCTCAGGCGCTCCGTCCCCACTGTCCCCTGTGTCCCCTCGCAGCTGACGACACCGAGATCTCCTTCGACCCCGAGAACATCATCACCAACATTGAGATGATCGATGAGGGCTGGTGGCGCGGCTTCGGCCCCGACGGCCACTTCGGGATGTTCCCCGCCAACTACGTGGAGCTGATCGAGTAGGGGGTGCTGGGGGGCTGCTCCAGACCCCGAGCCCACCCAGCTCCTGCCGGGCTCTCCCAGCGACACGTGGCTTTATTTCTTTATTTCTTTATTTCTTTATTTCTCTCTCTCTCTCAGTGAAGTGCCATTCCCCAGTCCCTCGGCAGCGGAGCTGCCCCCCATCCCTCAGGGTGGGAAGGAAGGGTCCCATCCCACCCTGAGCCCTCCTCCCTGGGCTCTGGGGTGTGACAGATCCCTCACGGGAATTTTCAGGGAACAAATTCAAGAATTACCTCCCCCCTGTGCTCCCTCCGTGCCTCCCTCCCCGTGGCCTTGGGCCTGCCACAGCCACACTGGACGTCCCCAAGCTCATTTCATTGGAGAAGCTCATCAGAGCGGTTTTGGGGACCTGCAGGGTCTGACGCGAGCAGGAGAGAATCCTGGCCCTGCAGCGCCCTGAGCTCACACGTGTGCTCACCCTGTGTTCTCCTCCCTGCTCTCCCCCCTTCCCTCACCCCAAACCTGCTCTGGGGTTTGAACTGGGAGTGAAATTCTCCCCTGCAGCCTGGCCAGGCGCGTGGGACCCCTCCCCACCCCAAACTCACTGTGAACAAGGAAAAGCCCAGCCCAGCCCTCCCTTTGGAGTTCCCTGCCCTGCTGTCACTTTAGGAACAAAAGGAGAGAAAGGCGTGGGGGGTCCCCGCTGAGCCCCCCCTCTGCAGGGCTGGGGGCCGTGGGGGCTTCTCTGAGTCCCTGCCCGAGCTCCTTCTGCTCCCTGTGCCCCGGGCCCTCCCCAGCATCAATAAAAGGGCTTTTCTTTGGTGATGGCTGCAGCAGGCTCCTGCTGGGGGCTGGGGAGGGGTGCAGGGGTTTGGGGAGGTGCAGGGGAGCCCCCCCAGCCCCGGGCAGCCCCCCCAGCCCGGGCAGGCCCCAGCATTGCTGGGCAGTGACTCACGGCCGGGGGGGGGACACGCGTGTGACGGGGCCGAGCTGCCACGTGGCCCGGCCACCAGCGGGGCCCGGGGAGCCTGCGGGGCCGGCACGGGGGGGACACACCCGGGACACCCCCAGGGACCACCGGGGCGGGCTCCCCCCAGCCTGAGCCCCGAGCCTGCCGGCCACGCGTGTAATGTGTGTGCAGAGCGTGTGCCCTGCATCCCCGGCATCCCCCGTGTGTGCAGAGCGTGTGCCCTGCATCCCCTGTGTGTGCAGGAGCCCCGGGCAGTGCCAGGCGTGTGCAGGGTCCCTGTGCCCTGTGTGCCCCATGATCCATGTGCAGAGTGTGTTCTCTGCGTGTGTGTGATCTGTGTTCTCTGTGTGTGTGGGATCTGTGTGTGTTCTGTGTGTGTTCTCTGTGTGTGTGGGATCCCATGTGTGATCTGTGTGTTCTGTGTGTGGGATCTCGTGTGCACAGTGTGTACAGGGGGTGCTGGGGTATGGGGTTATAGGGGTACGGGGCTGCAGATGTTGCCAGGTTTGGGGGTACAGATGTACAGGCACTGCCGTGTGTGGGGTATTGGGGTGCTGGGGTACAGGGGGTGCCAGTTTGGGGGCACAGACATACAGGCTCTGCCGTGTGCCCGCCCGTGCTGGGAGCACGGTGCCGGTGCCAGCCCCGGGGCCGGGCTGGTGGCACCGGTGTCCTGCCGGTCCCCGCGAGTCGGGCCCCGCACGGCGCCGGTGTGGGCTCGGTACCGGTCCCGGGCGGTGCCGGTGCCAGTCCCAGTGCCAGTGCCAAGCAGCGCGGGTCCCAGGCAGTCCCGGTGTCGGTCCCGGTGCCAGTGCGGGTTCCCGGCAGTCCCGGTGCGGTCCCTGTGTCGGTGCCCGTCCCGCTCGGTGCCATCCCGGTCCCGTTCAGCTCCGGTGCCATCCCGGTCCCGCCCCCGGCCGAGCGCCGCCCCCCGCCCGCCCTCGCGGGGCTCTCGGGGCTCTCCGGTACCGGGCCCGGTGCGCGGCGCGATGGTCCTGGCGGGGCCGCCCCGCTCCTGCCTGCTGCTGACGGCCGCGCTGCTGCCGCTGCTGCCGGTACCGGCACCGGGAGCGGCCCCGGCGCCCCCCGCGCTCACCGACGCCGAGATCGAGGAGTTCCTGCGGGGCTTCCTCGCTCCCGGCGACGGCGGGCACCGGGACGGGCACCGGGACGGGGACGGCACCGAGCTGGGCTTCGGCCCCGAGCTCAGCACCGGCACCGGCACCGGCACGGGTGAGTGATGGGCGCCGGGATCCCGGGATCCGCACGGGGCTCCCCGGGCCGGCCCCGCCGCGCTCACCCCGCCCGGCCGCCGCTCCCCCTCTGTCCCCGCAGGCGCCCCGGGGCCGCTGCCCGAGCCCGGGAAAGCCAGGAAGGGCAAGAAGGAAAAGCCCCCCAAGAAAGCCAAGGAGAGACCCCGGGGGCCCAAGAAGGACAAGGACAAGGACAAGGAGCGGGGCAAGAACAAACCCCCCAAGAAAGCCAAGGAGAAGCCACCCAAAGGCTCTGAAAACCCAGCAAAAGGCTCAGAAAAAAACCCAAAAGGGTCTGAAAAAAACCCAAAAGGCTCTGAAAAGCCCCCAAAAGGCTCCAAAAAGCCCAAGGAGAAGCCACCCAAGGCCACCAAAGCCTCTGGCAAGAAGCCACCAGTGGCACCGAGCCCCCCCAGTATCCAGCAGCCCTGGCAGGGCAGGCAGGACGGAGAGATACCTGAGCTCCTGGAGCCTTCGCACAAGGAGGAGGAGGAGGAGGATGGAGGTGTCCGAGGTGAGTTTTGGGGGCACCCATCTTGCCCCTGGGGGGGTTGGGGTGGGGGTCTCAGCCCAGCAGAGCTTCACCCACACCCTGGCAGCACCCCACAGCTCTGTCCCCATGGGTTTCCCCTCTGTCCCTCCATTGTCCCACACTTTCCTTCCCGCTGTGGGGCTGTGGGGCAGGACAGGGCCTGGGGTGGCCGTGCCAGCCCCTCACTCTGTCCCTGTCCCCAGCAGAGCTGGAGGAGCCCCCAGAGGAGCGCTGGGGGCCGGGCCGGGAGGGCTGGAGCCCTGAGCCAGGTGAGAGCCCAGCCCCACGGCCACCCCTGTGTCCTGGGGACACTCCTGGTGTTGGGACTCCCTCCCTGTCCCAAATGTCACATCCCAGCTCCCTAGGGAGCTCCTGCAATACAGGAGCGTCCCACCTGCCTGTCCCCAAATCTCACCTTCCTGCATCCCTGTGTCACCTTCCTTTGTCCCAGCACCATCTCTCTGCTCCCAGGTGTCACCCCCTGTGTGCCCCAGGGTCACCTCCCTCCCGTTGTCAGGTGCCACCTCCCTGCTGTCCCCTGCCTCACCCCCGTGTCTCCTCTCTGCAGAGGTCCCCGAGGAGCCGGAGCCCCCAACCCTGGACTACAACGAGCAGCTGGAGCGGGAGGACTACGAGGACTGTAGGGAGCTGGGCTGGCACGGGGGGCACTGGGAGGGCAATGGGGGCGCTGGGAGGGCACAGGGGGCACTGGGGACACTAGGCACGTCCCCCTGCCCCCAGCACACACCAGTGCCACCCTCTGTGTCCCCAGTCGAGTTCATCCGGAGGCAGCAGAAGCCCCCCAAGCCCCCGGGCAGGAGGAGACCCGAGCGGGTGTGGCCCCAGCCCGAGGAGGAGACACGTACGTGGGAGGGGGGGACACGGGGCTGGCACCCCTCAGGGTGACCCTGGGGACAGGCCCCAGCCTTGGGAACCCAGGGTGACACTGCAGGGACATGGGGACCCTGTGGAGAGCCCTGCGGGGACATGGGGACCCCATGGGGACCCCTCGCTGCCTCCCCATCCCCAGTGCAGCCCCTCTCCCGCCCCAGCAGAGCCCGAGGAGCCCCCCCCGCGCCCGCCCCCGCAGCCGCTCCCGCCGCCCCCCCTGCCCGGCCCCGTGACCGAGGGCGACTACGGCGAGGGCTTCGAGCCGCCGGACTACGGCGACTGTGAGTGAGGACGGGGGGACGGGGAGCCCCAGCGCCCCAAACACCCCAGACACCCCAAACACCTCCATCCCTGTCCCCATCCCTGCCCCCCCATCCCTGCCCCCCATCCCTGCCCCCTATCCCTGCCCCCCCATCTCCAGGCTGCCCAGCCCCTCCTGTGCCCCTCAGGGTCCTACGGGCTGCCCCCCCCCACCAAGCCCCGCGAGGAGCACCCGGACAAGGAGGACGGGATGGAGACGGACGAGGAGAAAATCAGAGCCTGTGAGAGGGGTGGAGGGGCTGGGGGGTGGGCAGGGGGGACACGTGTGCCCCAGGGTCGGCGGCAGAGCCACAGGGAGGGTGGCATGTCCCTGGGACTGGTGTCACCTCACCAACAGCGAAGCCGAAGAAAGAGGAGGAGGAGGAGGAGGAGGAGCGCTGGGCCGAGGAGAAGGGCCAGGACCGCAAAGGTGGGTGCCAGCCCCCATCCCTGCCCCCTCACACCCAAAGGTGGGTGCCAGCCCCCATCCCTGCCCCCTCACACCCAAAGGTGGGTGCCAGTCCCCATTCCTGTCCCCTCACACCCAAAGGTGGGTGCCAGCCCCCATTCCTGCCCCCTCACACCCAAAGGTGGGTGCCAGCCCCCATTCCTGCCCCCTCACACCCAAAGGTGGGTGCCAGCCCCCATTCCTGCCCCCTCACACCCAAAGGTGCGTGCCAGTCCCCATTCCTGTCCCCTCACACCCAAAGGTGGGTGCCAGCCCCCATCCCTGCCCCCTCACACCCAAAGGTGGGTGCCAGCCCCCATTCCTGCCCCCTCACACCCAAAGGTGCGTGCCAGTCCCCATTCCTGTCCCCTCACACCTGTCCTCGTCCCTGCCCCCTCACTGTGCCTTCTCCTTTACCAGGAAAACCCAAAAAACCAGGAGGAAAGAAGTGGGATCCGGATGAGGAGGAATGGGCCCCTCCAGCAGAGAAGAAAAGTGAGTGTCCCCATTGCTGGGGGGACAGGGACACCCTGCTGGGGGGGGTGCGCCCCTCACCCCCTGCTGTCCCCAGGGTGTCCCCCAATCGGGCTGGAGTCCCACCGCATCGAGGACGACCAGATCCTGGCCTCGTCCATG